CGACCGAAAGCGATGAAACTGGGATTCCGTAGTTAATTAACAACCGCGAAACAAGATCGTAGATATGCGTTTAATATTGTCATGGCACACTGCGGGTGGAGAGAGGATTGCGGCCAGTAGAAACGAAAATAAATGTTGTTTCGCCGGGCACCGCGGCTTTTCCGTGTGTTCGGCCACGATTGTTATTTACCGGCGGGGCCGGCTCGTCGACGATATATTATATTACACAAATATCGATAAAAGGGGAGGAGGGCGCGACGATTAATAAACAGGTCCTCGTTTGAAATCTGCTCGCGGACTGATTGATTCTTCGTGCGCCTCGATTAGCATCGTTCCGACGCGGCGCGGGTCACCGCCAGGTGATAAATGACGCGCGGCAACGAGCCGTGGCGAACGGCTTTTCTCCTCCTTTTTTTGTTCTTCTTTTCGCGGTGGAAATGTTTCCTTTTCGAGCGGCACGACGAATCGACTCGTCACAGCCGAGCTCGTTGAGAACGTGACGAAATAATGCATTTCGGGACGATCACGCCCATCTCTCCGTCGCCCCTCGAAAATAACAACACTTCGACGACTCGCGTCATTTTTCGACGAAATTACAGAGGACAATGTTCAAAAATATAGGTAGAATTTTTACATTCACCGTATAATTTTTATTCTATTATTTGCGCTCCTGTTTCAAGTAAGGGTTGCAAACGAACGGTGTTTCGTAATAGGTACTCTTACCTTAAACATTTTCTTTCACAGCTAATTGTTACAAAACAATGTTCCCGTAAGTGAATTTACAAAGAAGAATGTTCAAAAATATAGGTAGAATTTTTATATCCACCGACTAATTTTTATCCTATTATTTGTGCTCCTGTTTCAAGAAAGGGTTGCAAACGAGCGCTGTTTCTTAATACGTACTCTCATCTTAAACGTTTTCTTTCACAGCTGATCCTTACAAAACAATATTCCCGTAAGTGAATTTACAAAGAAGAATGTTCAAAAATATAGGTAGAATTTTTATATCCACCGACTAATTTTTATTTTATTATTTGTGCTCCTGTTTCAAGAAAGGGTTGCAATCGAACGGTGTTTCGTAATAGGTACTCTTACCTCGAATATTTTCTTTTACAGCTGATCGTTATAAAATAGAATTCGCGAGAGCGAATTTACAAAGAACAATGTTCAAAAATGTAGGTAAAATTTTGCCATTCGCTTTCATAGGCTCTATATTTTTTTTATTGCATTATTTGTGCCACTGTTTCAAGAAGGGGTTGACAACAATCGAGTAGCAATAGGTACTTTCACCATAACAGGCCTGCATCGCGTTGTATATAAAAAAATATATCAAAATCGAAGGAGACTATTAAGAATCGGAGAAATAAATAAAGCTCGTCGAAGAAAAGTTTCACTTAAAAATTCGAACACCGCCATTTCATTTGCAACAACCCAACATTTTCGGGAGCCTGCGTTCCCACGGAACCGTTCCAAGCAGGTCCGTGTTAGCTGCATCGTTGAAAAAAAAATAATAAAACTGGAGGGAGGAACGAAGAGATACGAGGCCTCGGACGCCGGAAGTCAACCCCCCACGGTCGCAAATGCACCCTTTATACGCTGGTTACGGGCTGTAGCCGGCGATATAAAATTCAAAGCCACCAAGTGGCACCCTCCACGCTAACGACAGTGCCGCCCCTGAGCATCAGTATGCTAATCCGATGATTGGCTATGTTCCAAACCCCCCTCCCGTGCCCCTGCCGGCCGTCGTCCCCTCTCTCTCGCTCCATCTCCCCGTTTCTCTCTGTTTCTCTCTCTCGGGCGGGCTCCATCTCCCGTTTCTCTGCGGCTTCCTGATGGGATCCGGCCACCCTTAACCGAAACCATAAGCCAAAACTAACCCTTATTCTAATTAGGCGGCGCCACGACGCGCCCCCTGCTTTGCATATTTTCTCGATTAAACCTCGCCCTTTCTTTATCCGGTCGGGGCCCACGGGCGTCGCCACAATTTCCGCGGAATTTTCACGGATCCCGCGATTTCCCAGGCAATTTGTTCGAGGCCGCGGGGGCGAGCACCCCCGCCGAGCGGTGCGGTGTTTCGAGGAGGACTCCTCTCGTTCCGAAAATTGAATGTTTTCGGAAAATTTGAAATTTCGAAGTTAACTGTGATTTGAAAGCGATGAATCAGCGAATATAAATCAGTGAAATAAATATTATTCTTAATATTTTTCTTGCACCCCTAATTGTCGAGAAACACCCACAGCAACGATGTACATTTTTTTCTGCGACTCCCAAATCTTCCGACGCGATTTACGCTTTGTATTTTCGAATTGGATCACTGTATATATCGCACGGTGAACATCGCAGTATTCGTTTAATTAATGCAGAATAATAAATAATAATATTATATTGCACTCAGATATGAATGATAAATATGTCGGAAACGAACTCTCTGACACTGTTATCTCACCGACTCGCCGTTCTTTTTTTCTTTTTCCATAAGCGAGAACGTTTGCGTTTGAACTTTGGTTGTTATATTGCGTTTATTTCGGTAATTATTCCACCCTTTAAAGCGAGATTTTAATACGTTTATTTGAATAAGAATCGTCTACATGGAGTGTGCGATAATTTGCAAAATATAATCGTGAAATACAAACATAAAAAATAAGAATAATAATATGAACGTAATAGTAATATATGTTGTAGTTAAAGTTACTAGGTCGTGTTGAAAACGATTATAAATTAATGTTCTAAGTAATTATAACGTACCAACTGGACAAAACTCTCTTTTTTTTATTGTTTATTCATGTGTCGCCGTGTCTTAAATTTTAACAAATCAGTATACTTATTATTTCACACGTACTACCCATGTTTATTAACAATTGCTTAATATAACATGTTTCCAACAAAGAAATGTATTGACCGAACAGTAATAAACTAATAAACTAACATAAAGTAAAATAGAATTATATTAAATTGAATTAAGTTAAAAGTAAGTGTATTATGAGTCATTGGTAGTAGAACTAAATTCTCCTTCGTTAGATGAAATGTTTTTCCTCAGAGGAATTTTTGAATATATATAAAAATTTTAAGAACGAATTACATATAAAAATGAAAATTGTATTCGATAAAAATAATGAGAAATTTATTTATATATTAGGGGACTTTCTCTTTTATTATCATTATTATTACTATTACTATTATTACTATTATTATTATTATCATTATTACTATTACTATTATTACTATTATTATTATTACTATTATTATTACTATTACTATTATTACTATTATTATTATTATTAATAATATTATTAATATTATTACTACTATTATTATGATAATTATTATTATTGCTATTATTATAATTATTATTATTATTAATATTACTATTACTAATACTATAATTATAATTACTATTATTATTGCTACTATTATCATTAAAAGTACGGCGACGAGCTCGGCAACGCAACGGCGAAGCCAAAGCGGACTCTCTGACGAACTGATACCCGCTTTGAAACATCCTCTTAGCGTAGCCAGGATCGTTGAATATCAAAGTCAAAGCTCACCGGACGATTTCACCCTCGATCGCAACCCTTTTCGGCCGACAGGTGTCTCGTTCTCGGCCGGTCACCGCACCCGAATCGTCCTCTAATGGATCGCTCGCGGGTAGACAAATTGGCGGAGATTACGCGAGAGCTTTCGACCCAAAAGGCAATAAGTGCGTGTAACGAGGATTAGCGACGTTAACGAGGACGGCACGAGACCTATGCATAGCAACTTAACCTCGTCAGAATCCACTCGAGCTTCTCCTCCGTCGCTCCCCGCCGCACACGGGTATCCGAGCCGAGCTCCCGCCCCTTCGGCGACCAATGAAATTGAAATGGGTCTAGCCCGATCCCGCCGCGGCGAACCCTCGCTGACATAAGCTCATAAACCAGCGATATTGAATACAAATGGACGATACCGGCGCGGCGCGGAGCGGTGCCGCGGACGTTCGGGGTGCAAATGAGCCCCGTGAAACCAACCCCGTCGCCCTGGGGGCTGACCCTGAGGTCGATACGCCGACCTTAATAGCCACGGGCCGAGGGGAGAGGTCGAAATGCTCGGCGATCAATTAGATCGACGTCGAAGACAACCGTCAATCGCTTTTGCTATCGTAACGGGGTGGTTTTTCGGAAAGGGTGGCTACATTCGCGGTTATTCCGGGAACCTTGATACAGAGGTGGATGTTGTTCGAATTGTTTCGAGTTAATATTTAACCGAGGCTATCAGCCGGGTGGATTCTTTTTAGTCGAGGGTTTTGCTTAAATGATTTATTTTGTGCGTCGTTATTTAGTTTCTATCTATTTATTCGAATTATTCTTTATTCGAATTATTCTTTATTCGAATTATTCTTTGTTCGAATTATTCTTTATTCGAATTATTCTTTGTTGTAATTATTCTTTGTTCGAATTATTCTTTATTCGAATTATTCTTGATTCGAATTATTCTTTATTCGAATTATTCTTTGTTGTAATTATTCTTTGTTCGAATTATTCTTTATTCGAATTATTCTTGATTCGAATTATTCTTTATTCGAATCATTCTTTATTCGAATAAATTATTCGAATAATTCTTTACGCGAATAATTCTTTATTCGAATCACATTCTTTATTCGAATCATTCTTTATTCGAATAAATTATTCGAATAATTCTTTACGCGAATAATTCTTTATTCGAATCACATTCTTTATTCGAATCATTCTTTATTCGAATCATTCTTTATTCGAATCATTCTTTATTCGAATCATTCTTTATTCGAATAATTCTTTATTCGAATTATTCTTTATTCGAATAATTTTATACCCGAACAAATCATTCACATAATTTTTCATACAGCAATTCAGCCTGTTTGAATTGATTTTTCTGGCTTCACGAGATGTTAGTTTCGAACGAACCTTGTTCAGACCCATGGACACAGTTTCATTGGGATCGTCGGCGGGGTTTCGTTAGAACAATGAAGTTTTGAAAGCGATACTCACTTTTTCTCTCGCTTTCCCGCCCCCGTGTCCCGGAACCCCTTCGCGAACGGGTTGTTGTCGATTTTCAGCTGTGTGATCTGCAACAGAGAATTCAATGAACACAAAAATCCACTGACAGTTAAAAATAATAAAAATTAATATACTCGAGGTGACGAAATCACGCCAGATGCTACCGCGAACGCATTAGACACATGAAACTTCGGATTTTTAATGTATAAATCTATAATTTCTAAATGTTTGTATCGCTGCTTACGTTACGTTGCTCTTTTACAGTTTTATCGTGCATTTCGAGCGTCATATTTAGCCAAACAGAATTTTTCCAGAATTCTGTATTTTTGTTATTTATTTTCAGTTTCGTGTAACTATAAATTCTACAATATTTTCATATAGAATAAACAATGCTAGAGATCTCTGCACATTCATTGTATCATCAAAAACGCAAATTAGCATGAAGCAAATGAAGAAAACACTTTGTAGCGCGACAAGGTCAATTCCAGTTCCATTAAAGCGACTTACAAAGAACAAAAATAGAAATCTCCATAAAAATCCACAGTCTAGTAATCGCTTCGCGATGGACCGAGCAATCACGACGAAAAGCTTTCTCGCCGATGGTCGAAGATCGACAGGTCTCGATCCGGATATTCGTGAAACGGGGCACGCGGCACGAGCTGCTGCCGTACCGGGAACAGAGATAACGAAGGGGGGGCAGGGGGGGTCGGACGACGAAAAATTCGGACAAGGGAGCCTTTTTGTGCGGGCGCAACATCGGAAATAATGTGTACCGGGAACCGTGCTGGTTCCCCGAACCCTGTCGGCCCATCAACCGGGGTGGGGACTGTAATTAACGCGGACTCAACGAAAAGAGAAGAGCTGTTCTTTCTTCGAACGCGGATCCCCGCTTCCCCCGCATTTTCCATCGATTTCCCGTCGATCGGGAAATTTCATGAGGATTGATTGAATAAATTACGTTACTGCGGCAACTACTTTATAGTGATTAATATAATTCATATAAATTATGCTGATTGTACAATATGATCGATATAAATATATATTATACAATGTATGCAATACATATTATACAATATATACAATATATATTATACAATATGTACAATATGTATATATACAATATTATGTATATTGTATATTGTATATTATACAATATGTACAATATATATTATACAATATATACAATAAATATTATACAACATATACAATATATTTTATACAATATAATCAATATAAATATATTATACAATATGTACAATATATATTATACAATATATATAATAAATATTACACAACATGTACAATATATATTATACAACATATACAGTATATAGTATACAATATAATTAATATAAATTATACTGATTATACAATATATCCGATATTATATTATAAAATATATCCAATATACATTATACAATATATACAATATATATTATAAAATATGATCAATATAAATTATACCAATCAATGTAAATTTGATCTTGCCACTTTTCCGAGGCGATGCACACAGTCAACTTCATTGTCTGCTATGTTTTTCCGCGGCGTTTTTCTTGGGCACCGCGGGATTATCGGCAACATCGTCCGAAAATTTTCGAAAAAACGAAAGGAGGAGAAAACGAGACAAACCAATTTTCCCGCGCGCAGATTCCACGATGGAGCGGCGGCGGCGGCTCTTTTACGCAGTGCGCGCGCGATAATTACAACGTTCTCTTTAATTAGCGTAGTTAATCTGAGAGGACGACCGCGTGCCGGGCTAAACTTCGATAATTAATGTAGTGGCGATGGCTCCGGCGATAACTTTTCGGTGGCAGCGCAGCGAACGTTGTTGCGCTCCACACCTTTCTGCGGGAACAACGGGGGCTAAATATTAATTAACGACGGGTAGTGCGTGTAATTAGCCGCGGTACTGTTCAACATGTTACATTTTGATTCACGGCGCTGCTAACGAGAAGCTGTTCTATGCCCTAGAAAACTCGGCCCGCGCGACATGCTCGTTTCCGATAATATTTTCATCAGCGAAAAAACTCTTCTTATTAGCACAGGTTGCATCGAGGGCCGCTGTTCTGCTTATGAATTACTCTGCCCCCGTCTCGTGATGCTCGTGTTACTTTAAAATTCGACTATTTCCCGTCGCATTTCACCGAACACCGATCTCCTGCTTTGCAGAAGTGCCATCGTGTGGTAAAAAGGGAATAGGACGCGATCGGTTGTAATATTAATACTGTTATAATAATATTATTGTTCAGTCGTAATATTAATAGTAATAATGGTAACATTAATAGTGATAATATTAATAATAATAATATTAATGATAGTAATATTAATACTCTTAATATAAATGATAATAATATTAATACTATTAACATAAATGATAATAATATTAATACTATTAATATTAATATCAATAATATTAATACTATTAATATTATTATATAATATTGAGAATATATTAATGATAATATTAATAATAATAATATTAATAACGATAATATTGATAATAATAATATTAATGATAATAATATACATATAACAATAATAATATTAATGATAACAATATTACTATATAATATTAAACAGCAATAACAATATTAATGATAACAACATTATTACATAATATTATATAACAATAACAATATTAAATCGAATGCCGAAAGGACAAAGGAAAAGGAGCAGTTTTCAATGCGATCTCTCCCGATAATGATCAATGCTCCGTCGTTGTTCCATGCTCGGTGCATCGCGATAGAAGTTGCCGGATAAAACGAATAGACCAATCGCTTACCTTCTCGTTCTGATAGGCGGTCACCGCGATGAATTCCGTCTCCTTGAAAACGTAACTTCTGAACGTCGAGTAGGCGAGCTGCGAGATGTGGTTGGCCCTCGCCAGGTGAAACCTCGGCTGGTACTTGTGCATCGAATTCAATATCGTCTGAAACAACCAGGCGAGCATATATTGGGACAGACTGTTCCGTGGACAGAGCTCGTGCTCGCAATCATTTCTCGGTCCCTAACCGCGCGCGCCTTGTCCGGGGGAAATCGCGCCGCGACACGGACTCGCTACCGCGGACCGTAAGGAGACCGCGAGGGCCCACGTCTCGCGAACGAACGGGGACGAAACCGCGTTACCTCGACGCGTAAGCTGAATCTGGACTATCCCGGTGTGTCAGACCAGTGCTGCTACCGCAATCCGATACGGTGTTATCACACGAGCATAAGGGAAAACCCGCGAACGCATGCGCAACCCGAGCAACTTGCAAGGGTTCCGCGCTACTCATTTTGACGCTTCGCTGTCGCAACGAGCAGTTCCGGAGAGGTAATTTACGATTCCGGAAAGTCCAAGCTACGTCTGTACGGTCTCCGAAATTCCAAATTTTGCGGTATTATAGAATAACCGAGTCTGCAATAACGTAAGAGTTGAAATTTTAAGAGAGAAATTTTATTTAGCTGGTGCGACCTTTAATTTAGCTGCAGAGTGCAACCTAAGTTCAGCACACCAAGATGGCGGGTATTTTCGATTCTCTTTAAGTCATCAGCTTCATTTTATCGCAACTAGACGCTGTCCTCATGGTCCGTGCTCGGTACACGGTCCCTTCTTCCGCGTCGGCCTCGCGCCGGCCATGTCGGCAGAACTGCGAGACAGCGACGTTTGGTCGCTTTCTACGAATAAAAGAGGCCAACATGGCGGCCGAGGAGAACACGGAGGACCGAAGAATCCTATAAATCACGCCCTAAAAAATTCTTCCCCCGGTTTCGTTCTGTCCGCGACGATGACGAGGCGTTCGAACGATCGACGCGTCTCTCGCCCGCGAGATTCGAAGCATCGGAAGCCGCCCGATCGCGGCGCAATTCCGCGCAATCTGCGCGTTTAATGGCGGACACTTCCAGCCCGATTCCAGGCGAATAAAACGATCGATTCGCTTTTAGTCGGCCGGACTCGGCGCGGATCGCGCGTCCACCGCGATGCAAATGCGGCAGCGGCTAACAAGATTGCGCCGGGCATTCCAGCGCGGAATGGACGCGCCGCTGTCGACCACTCGATAAATCTGCGCTCCGCCGTGGAATCGGCGTAATTGCGTGACGGAATTTTAGTAATTCACCGGTGGAAACCGTCGACGAAGCGCGATATTGCGACGGGACGCGACGACGAGACGCGACGACGAGACGCGCGACAGTTCCGCCGGCGGCCAGCAAAACGAGCAACGAAAAGGGGAAGCCCCCGTAAAGATCCCGGGTACAGACGGGTTATCGTTCATTGAAAATGTTCTTTGGCTTCGCGGAGACCCGAGTGCAGCGACTGCAACGGCTGCAAGCAGCAAGGTGCGGTGTTCGGACCGAAAAGCTGGCCAGAATACGACTTTTCGAACGTTGCGCGAAATAAACGATTGTGGTCGTCCGAACTATTGGAATGTATGAATAACAGTGAAGTAATATTGTCTTTTTTTGTTTACGAATTCGTGCGGCGTTGTTTTGCAATTGATGGTGAAAACGTTTTTTAGTACCCTGTGATAATTATTTATTGTTGTGCAAGGCTGTGACGAGAGCAAAAAGTATAAAATCGTTTCGAATAGCTTTTAATTAATTTAGTTTCAATTTGAATATCTTTTCCTTGGTTATTGTTGCTAGTCTCGATCATTTTCAATATTTTGCAACAGTTTTAACGGTTTTTAATACTTTCTGAGATTTTTTCCACGGTTTTTAGTACTTCTCAATAGCCCCACATAGCTTCTCACAATTTCTAAGTTGTTTCTAATTGTTTCTAGATTTCCTTGCACGTTTTTTAAACAATTATATACCCCTCGCACAGTGCAAATAATAATATTTGTATTTCGCGGTTCCAAATGATTTCCGCCAGATTACAGTGGCATAAATAAATAAATGGTCGCGTCTCGAATCCGTTGAGAAATCGAAACAATATTTCGCAATATCCCAACAATAATTTGCGCTTGATTATAATTATCGTGACTCGCTCGCGATTACGTCTTCCAAGTTGAAGTACTACAAACAAGTCAGCAGGTACGTTAACACTGTATAATAATTAACCGTCTGCGCGGTCAAACGTCGCCAGGGGCTGGCAATATTTATGTAAATTCATGAAATAATATTCAACGTGTGCTAACATACTCGTAGAACAAGCAAAAAAGCAACAACAACGATAACAACACATTCTCGATGCAACGAATTAAATACTTCTTCTTTTTATTCTAATATTTATATAATATTAGTTATATAAATTATGGAATTAATGAAGATAATTATTGAAGCAATCACCTGCGTGATTATAAAAACATCGAGCGCACGTTATGCGAGCGGCCATTATGGTCATTATGTTAAACGAGAAAAACAACATTTCGGCCGGCGAAATCGGCGGCACAGGCCGCTCGCTGTGCAGCGGATCGGAAACGAACGGCACCGCGAGCGTCGATGAAACGTGGCCGTTTACGGGGATCTAATCGCGCGTCGGCGCGGCTCGGTGATGAACGCTATTGAAATATGTATTCCGGCGGTGCCGGGTCCGCCATGTTGGAGAGACGCGCGTTTGTCGCGGTCGAGCAGCCTCCGATTACGCTCCGGAGAAGTACTAATTGCTCCGATCGGCGTTCGCACATATTTTCCACGGCGCCGGAGGCGTGTCGAGGCCGAAGGTCCAAGAGAAAGGAGATAGCCGGAGTCAGAGAGAGAGAGAGAGAGAGAGAGAGAGAGAGAGAGAGAGTCGGGACAGAGAGGAGAAAGAGTAGAGAGGCATTCGGGTTTGATAGGCTAATGACAAACGCCTAGATTGGCCGGCTTATCAGCCGAGCAGCGCTAATTATTTCCCCTTTGTACCGAGCCGCGCGCATAATGGCGACCGCCGCGGGCCAGCAGCTTCTCCCGTATGATCGCGATTTCCACGTACGACCGCCGCCGTTGCGTTTGTCTGCGTCCGTTTTATTTATTGCCGGATCGAGGGGATCCCTGCCGGGGGGACGCGGATTGGACACCGTTTCTCTCTTTGCTCCCGTCGTTATCGCGGCCCTCTTGCCGCACGGACCTTTGCCCTCTTTCTCGCTCTCTCTCTCTCTCTTTCTCTCTCTGGCATCCTACTCTCTCTCTCTCTCTCTCTTTCTCTCTCAGGCATCCTACTCTCTCTCTCTCTTTCTCTCTCTGGCATTCTACTCTCTTTCTCTCATTCTCTCTCTCTCTCTCTCTCTGCGCTCCTGCTTCCTCTCTGACATCCTATTCTCTCTCTCTATTTCTCTCTTTCTCTCTCTCTCTCTCTCTCTGCACTCCTACTTCCTCTTTGACATCCTATTCTCGCTCTCTTTCTCTCTTTCTCTCTCTCTCTTACATCCTATTCTCGCTCTCTTTCTCTCTTTCTCTCTCTCTCTCTCTCTCTCTCTCTCTCTCTCTCTCTCTCTGCACACCTGCTTCCTCTCTGACATCCTATTCTCTCTTTCTCTCTATCTCTTTCTCTTTTCACTCCTACTTCCTCTCTGACATCCTATTCTCTCTTTCTCTCTCTATCTCTCTCTTTTCACTCCTGCTTCCTCTGTGACATCCTATTCTCTCTCTATTTCTCTCTCTCCTTCTTTCTCTGCACTCCTGCTTCCTCTCTGGCATCCTATTCTCTCTCTCTCTCTCTCCCCCTTTCTCTCTCTCGGCTCCGAAGATCACCGCCCACGCCGCCAAAACGAAGAACAAGCTCCGAAGACTTCGCTTTTCACGCAAACGCCACATTTCTCCGCGAAACTTTTTCAACGGCAGTCTTCGGGCTCGAAGTTTCTGCCGAAGCGACTCCGAGCAACGTCGCGAGACTCTCCTCTCTATAACGTCTTCTCACAGAACGGCCAGCATCGACCGAAACAGCTCCGAATCGCAACCAGTCAAAATGCTCTTCGTTGTAGGTTTAGTGTTAAAACGCTATCTAAAGCGCGATTCTGATGGTGCTGCCACGTTTGAGTGCGATTAATGTACGTTATATGATACTACACGACTGTGTTACCATTTTATTAGCCCGAGGACGTCACATGTACGTGCTGGAAAATGGTGATCAACGATCTAACTTTACCCTTATTGCGGCTCTCTAGCCACCTACGGGGACGGCCGTAATAAAGCACCCGATTCAAAGTGGCCGCCATTTTGTCGTCGCGCGTTCTGCGTTCGTTTTGCTTGGACCATCGCGTCGCGCATATATTTAAGTCCTAGTTTAAGTAGGAATTGTCTGAATCGCTGTCACGCTATCTAGAACTTGAACGATATATATATAAAAAAAAATATATGTACAAATAATGTGGGAGAAAATTCTGTATGTCTAATTTGTCGCTAATTTGTATCGTCAACAATTTGAAGTGTCCTATGAGGTTCTAAAGGGTAGTGTTTATCTAGGTGTTGATCTCAATCTTAATGTCAGCTGTTTGTTCTTTATTGCAACAATGCGTTTTCACTCCTATACAGAAATCAGTAAGTGAATAAATAAATAAATCAAAGAGCATTGGAGTTGCGACAAGCAAATTATAGCTCGAATTACAGTAAATTTTCCCCAATTGTCCTTCAGCCTGTAAAGAAAAATGGACAATTTGGGAAGCAGAGATACGATTGTACCATTGCATTCCGTTTTTATGATTGTTGACAATGGGCAACTATAAGCTCTTCCCAAATTGTCCATTTTCATTTCTAAACTGAAGAAAAATGGAGAAGTATTTACCTTACCGCAATGTCTCTCTAATTGACGCTCAGATTGTCCACAAAAATGGACAATTCGGGAAGAGAAGATACGATTATTCGATCCATGCGGATTATTTTTATGATCCCGAATTGACAACAACTATAAAAATGAGAGCTGCAAGGCTCGAATAATCATATCTCCTCTCCCCAAATTGTCCATTTTTGTGCGCGATCTGAGCGCGAATTAGGGAGAAATCACTGTATATCGAGCAATCGTATCTGCTCTTC